AGAATTCACCTCCGTTCCCTGCCTGCCCTGCTCATCCACCCGTGGGAGGCGTGCATAACGGTAGCATTCCGATGGTATGGCCTCAAGCCCGTGCGCCTTTCCGTTTGGTAACCTACCGACAGCACGTGCTACCTCCTCCAAGGTGAAAGGCTCGTCCAGGATGCTAGCTGCCCGTGCTCTCCTGTCCATGACAGTCCGACAAGCTTGCCAAGCACCCTCTCCCAAAGGGGCCCCAAAAAAGGAGATATAGTTAAGGAGTCGATGTGCACCTTCAACACCCGTCTCCCCAACCCCTGCATTTAACAAGGTGGCAAAATGATCCCGAAATACATGCAAGTCATCAATCGCGCAACGCTCCTTGAGTTGCCCTCCCAAGGCCCGCCATAGTGCGCGCTGATCGTGCCTGCACCTTACCACGAACTCACGCATTCTCTCTGCATCATATGCTGCTCGGGCACGACGTTTGGCACGGTTCATTGCGTTACGTGCCTTGCAGAATGCTTCCCACAAGGGGCCTGACTTATTCTCGACCCTGCCAGGGCCAAGCCGCACCCTGCAGGCAAGCATGTGCTGCCGGACGCTTTGGCATTCCTCGTTCCACCATAATGCACCACCCCCCGCTTGCATACCCTCAGGCCTGCGACCCGCAAATACTCGAATCAGCACCTTCCGCAGGAGGGTACTAATGCGCTCCACCGACTCCGTGCTGTTGCAGGCCCCATTCGATAGGTCTATGATCACCCCATTTAGTGCATGCATGACCTGGGATCCATCAGTGAACAGAGCAGCATAGTCACGATAACGGGAAATCTCAAACACTGCTCGCTTCTTTTGGCAGCACCCTTTGGCACTCGTCCCAGTTCCTCCTACAGCTAGACCAAGCACTAGCGTCACTGGACGGTGGTCAGTCGGGAACCAACCATCTGGCGCGAGCAGCTCGCCCACTCGCATCCAATAGGCATGGCGGAGAACACCGGCCGAACCTACGAAAAGATCAATCATGCTCCCACCTGCTTCACCCTTGGGGAAGGTCAGACGACCCTCTAAATCCCCAGAAACACGGCCATTTAATACCAGCAGCCCTTGTGATTGGCACAGGGCGCCCAACTGGTGCCCAGCGAAATTGCAGGCAAGGTCTTCACTCCTACGTCCGGGCACGTCTGTGTAGCCCTGAGGGTCCGTGTCCCCCGGTAAGCCCATGAACTCCTGCAGTGCTGTCAGTTGGTCTAAATCTGGAACGTCACTAACATACCCGGGCAGGTCAGCAGGCGAGGACCGGTGCTTTGTATGCTGTGCACTAGATATACGGGCATTTAGATCGCCGGCAAGCATCACATCCTCCCCCGGCTGCCGGAGCTCAGAAATATCTTGTTGGACTCTCGCGAAAGCAGCTTCTGCTGCTGCTGCCCGCTGTGCATTAGTTGCACCTCCGGCTGGGTACACTCTGGAAGTTTCAGGCGCAAGGTAACAGGCCCCCACCAAGAGGCTGTTTCCTGACAGAAGGTTGACACGTATCCACAGGACCTCACAGCCTGCAAGACTGTTGTTTTTCCGGACAATGGTAACCCCATGGGAGGCGGTATCACGCACGTAAAGAGCAACCCCACCATAGTCAGCGCGTACGGCGTCTCCTGACCTCTGCACCCGCATCAGGCGGAAACCTTCGAGGGACACATCGCTGTCTGGCACTGCATCCGTTAGGTGTGCTTCAGTAACAATGATGAGGTCGTGACTAGTCACAAAAGACTTGATTCCGGCACGGTCAAGCTTAAAAACTCCTGCCTCCAACAACCCATGGACATTCCACAACAAAACCCTCAACCCTCTTGGCCCTCGGCTCGTGCTATCCTAGTCATCCACTTCCGCGGGTAGGCCTGCAAACCGGTTAGCACTAGTTTGCTTGCCAGCCTGGTCATACGGTCGGTGATCAGCTCTGCTGCTGGGCCCTGCACGTCCCTCCCTGCTTCTAGTTGTCCCTTCATCGACCCCCAGACCTTGCTGGCCGGTCTCACCATGGCCGTCTCGATCCTGGTCCTTGGAACTCCTCCGCCCTGAGGTGGTAATGAAGCCATCAATATCCATGGTGCGGCCGGCGGCAGAGCTGGGCCTCGGGTCACGGGGTGCTGGCGCCTGGTTGTGGGACCGGTCGAGCCTACTAGGTGATGCTGAGTATGTGAGCCCGTATACTGGTTCTGTCCGTGGGTGTTTGCCGCCTTTCGCTTTGATGGCACTCAGCGAAGCCACGGGTGCTTCACGATTCTTCACCCCTAGCTGCTTTCTGTAAGACGGTGGGGCCGGTGGTGGGGCGGCTGGTGACGGTGCCATCGGCTTGGGAGGTGGTGGTGGTGGTGGCGGTGGTGGTGGTGGCGGCATGCTGCCACCGGCGGCGGCACTACCGCTACCAGTAACGCCAACTCCGCCGGCACAGCCCCTGAAAGGCATATTTACGTCGTCATCGTTCTCGGCATCCATCTCTCCACCCTCTCCACTGTCGCTGTCGTCGTCACCGTACTGGCTTGGGTAGGGCACCGGTGCGCTCCCGTTCGGGCTCTTCTTATAAAACAGTTCGGCCCCGTTGCGTCACATGGGGATCCACTGCTTCGCTTTTATCACCTGCCACATGGGCCGCAGCCTGGATCTTTCCGCCCGCCCTTCCTTGGTGAGCGAGTCATCTACCCGGAGACCCAACCTTTTCAGGTCAGGTGCGGCTTTAAAGAATTTTACCCGGTCCTTCCACCGGATATCAATAAGCCAGCTCTTTGTACTGCGATCTGGCCTCTCAGTGCGAGTGAGAAGGCCGATATCAAGCGCATGTAGCCCCAGCTCGGCGAGGCAGGCCCGGACGCTGCCCTCATCCTTGTTCTTGTCCGTCGTGATAACGACGCTGTCCCAATAGAAAAACTTATTACTGCTAATTAGTCCGCGGGCATCCATCGTGATGCCGCTCGGGTCGGTTTCCAGCTTGCTGACCCGGCCCTGGAGATCGATGATCTCCACGCGTGAGAGTTGTTGCTCATTCTTTAGATCGAGCACCTGATCCCCGAGCTTCCTAAAGTCCCCGTAGAGGGCTAAGAGCATGCCAGCAGTGATAGGACCATCGGGATTGCCCCGCGCTCTTGCCAGGTACTCTGTGTAACTGTTGTCCATTCTGTATTGCAATTTCGAGGTCGGATTATACCGGAAATTTACATAACAAGGAAGGACCACGGGCGTTGACGGCTTGCAGCACTGTTGGTTCTATACTATGTGCATTTCTATTTCTATTTCTATTTCGTCGTTCATATAGCGGCCCTAAGTAGTAACAGCAACGCGGGAGAAAGGAAAGAATGGTGGGTGCATAAACCAAGATTCCACATTTCATGGAGCCGGAACATGCTGAATATAACTGATAGACAGACAGGCAGATAGACAGTGTGCATGTGCATGCATGTGTGCACACATGCGAGTGTATGTGCATGTATAGAATGCACCTTGAACTGGCACTGGCACTGGCACTGGCACTGGCCTCCGGTAGTAGAGCCGGTGCCTGGGTGAATGGCAAAGTCTGTCTTCTCCTTGCGCGACTCCTCCTCCGTCTTGACGGTGTAAAAGCCCATCTTCGGGTCGATGCAGCTGTGGACTGTTGCTGCCATGGGAGCAGAATAGGTGTTAACCGGTCGATCCGCTGGCTGCATCGTGTGATGGCACATAGGCCATGGCATGGGCTTGGTCATCCGGTTGAGCATCCGGTAATCCCATGCAGGCAGGCACGATATGTTGTTGTTGTCGCTGTTGTTGTTGTGTTGTGTTGTGTTGTGTTAACATGGTCGTGGGTGCGTTTCCCGTACCTGCAAACTGTTGGAAATGACCGACACTCATATACCAGTGAATTGTAGCCACAGTAATAGGACCCAACGGGGGTCCGTGGCGCTTTGTTGGTCTTAACACAAACCGCCCTAATACGGGGGCTCAAGGGCTGCCAGATCGCCTACAAGCACCATCCTACCTCGCATTTCAAACAAAGCAAGTAATAAAGGATACTAACGACCAAAGGGAACGATAGAGTTGTGGTGGGATCATATACGTTCCAGCATCCTTGCCAGGCGTTCAGGTTCCCACAGGTCCGGTATGAAATATTGCCATTAAGGGCTGGTGGCCTCGGTACGAACACCACCGATGCATCCCAAGGTGATGTTGTTACAGAGTGGGAGGCTTCTGGGCCACTTGAACACATGATCATTTCTACGATTTATCACGCCATACAGCACCATCCACCATTACCACACTGTACTACGCCATACGAACTGCAAGTCCAAGGCGGTTGACCCTGCCTTCTAGTTTATGGGCAGGGGCTGATAAGCGTTGGATATATGTTGTGTTGTGTGTGTGTGCATTTGTACGTAGGTGTTGTTATTAAGCTAGAGCTTGAGGTAAGATGGCAGGTGTTTCAGACTGCGGTAGCTGGCCACCGCTGAAAAGGCCTCCCGAGATGCTGGTCAAGCGCTTCGCGCGTACTTGTAGTAAATATGTGTGCCGTACTGTGTACAACAGCAACTACACAGGGGCGTCAATTAGGGGCTAAGAAGGACACGACAAACTTATATCGGTGCTACAAATCCGCGTTGCGTTAATGTCGGAGGCTGGATGTGGTGCTGGTGATGTAAGGAAATCAGGGCGGAGAAAACGCACGCGATGTACGGCAACCAGCTAGCTATATAGTCGCTTGGTGCGCCCTGACAGAGCAACCCCCGCCCCCACCCCCCCGCTATCTTTCTCCTTTACAGTTGCTTACAATTATATACATGACCCATATATATTATATATATGTATATTATATATATATATATAAACACGAATGTTTCAAAAAATATATATATTTTTTGAAACATTCGTGTTTTTTAGGCTTAAAAGAGGATGGTTGATTTAGGATTGAAAGCAGTTGTTACCTTGCTGTCGCTGTTGGCTATTTGCTTCCGCAATTTGCCTAACCTCCACTCGGAAACACACGGTACTATTTGACAGGGGGCACTACTAGCTATCGATGAGAAACAAGCAGGATTCCGCAGCAGCCAAGCTTGCCTCCTACTAGGAGGCTTCCCACCCACATTATGAAAAAGAGAACAGAGGAAAGGTTCTGTGTGTGTGTATGTGTGTGTGTGTGTGTGTGTGTGTGTGTGTGTGTGTGTGTGTGTGGGTGGGGGTGGGGGTGGGGGTGGGGGTGGGGGTGGGGTGTGTGTGGGGGGGGGAGGGTGGGGGTGTTACAGTGGGCTCCAGACTCACGAAGAGAAGAGCCATCGGACCAGCTGGCCGTGCACTGCACTAGAGACTAATATACAAATTAGACAATCACCCCAATGAGACAACTAAAGGCAATTAGACAGTCAAACCGCGAGGAAAGGGAAGGCTGAGGACCCCCAATTGTTAATGAAATAGGCCTGAGCCTGAAAAGTCCTCCAATTAAGTGAATCGAAAACAAATTGGTGATAGCTAATCGTCCATCGGTGACCGCTCCCGTGAGCATAGCAATTTGCCTGATACAATTCGCAAGAAGGGGTGATGTGCGCCAACAGAATCCCAACCTTTCCGTGGAATTCCCAAAGCCGCGAAACCCTGAAGGCGGCCCCAAAAGTCAACAATAACTCGACAAATGGCTCCTTCCGTAAGGGAAAGGCCAGGTAACAGTGCCGGGTTGGTTTTCATGTTTGCAACCATATATCGTCTCCCATGCTCCATGGCTGACACCGCAGCAAGAGCCACAACATCCCGAACACATTGTTGCACTGTTTGCGGGGCTTGGACAAGCCAAAGTTGCTCCCTTGAGACTGGCAATCCTATCGAAAGAGTGAGTTGATCTGCTACTGCCAGTGCCACCGGACAGGCCCAGAAATGATGACAGCGAGGGGATACACCTCCCACTGTACCTACTGGATAACCTCCACAACCACATACTGTTGGCCGCGACATCCTGAGATGGGAATTTCCTAACATAGGCACCCCATCAACCGTGAGACGCCACCAAACCTCTTTTTGTTCATTTTCCCATCGTAAATGAGACCATAAACGATGGAAGGTCCGTTGCAAAATAAGAATAACCCTCAACCAGTTCCTCAGGAGAGCCCGTCGCCTCTTTATTGAAGAGGGTGCGGGCTACTCGGCGAGCCATAGAAAATGGCGAAAGTTGCATATTAGTCGCTAATACTGTTGATGTCTTGCCACTATTTTAAACTTTACTCAAGTCCTGGAAGCCTTCCGTTCATGCGCGGTAATTAGGAAGTGTCACGAATCTGTTGAAAAATGTTTATGTCGTTCGACCTGTAGCTTTCTGGACGCTCGCCAGGTGAAAGGTCAACGCTGGCGGCCTGTGGCTGTCGCAGTGGCGCCGCAATGCGACGCGGTCCCCAAATGGTAAGCAACATGAAATGTTTAAGTAATAACATTCTCATTTTATGGCGCATAACGTGAACGCAGTAGTTAGGGAGCTCAACTTAAGGAGCGATAACGGTGGGATCACATATCATCCGCATATGAAACGTCCTTAGCGCGCAAATAACGAAAATGGAGACGCGTTTCCAAAGGTCTTTCTTAAAAGTCTTTCGGTGCCCTAATCAGAAAGCGCTTCTGTAAGGAGAAACAACTGTCGGCGGCGCCTTATACCTTAAGGTATACCTACGTAGGCTTACCGCTGCGCTGAAACTCATCAGGGTAGGTTAGCACCGCCCAGGGTAGGTGAGCATCGCTGGGATTACTACAAAATAAATACTACATGGTACAGCAGTAATTTACAATAAAGGGTTAAGTGCGAGGAACGGTGGAAACGGCCACTGGAGACAAATAAAGAGCGTGAAGAGTGGAAAAAAACTAGACTGGACTGGCACGGAACAGGCGGGCGAGGCGGCAGGAGTGGTGTGCCTGGGGTTTGGTTTGCTCCAGCAGCGCTCCAGCTGGCATGGGGTTGAGACGCGGACCGGTGAATTACCCCCTATAGGTGTTAAGTTTTCCCTGCCATCTGCCTTGCTGGCTCTCGCCAAAGTGACGATTGTGTGCTGCCCTAACCCCCATCAGCCTAGCGAGTCGGCTGCTGCCAAGGCCAGTCCTTGTTCCCGTGCCGGTTGATAATCTCCCTGGGGCTTCGGGCGCAATCCTGATTACGCACCACGGCAGCACCCTCGAAGTCCAAAATGAATGCCACATGAATATAAATGAAATGGCTGGACTCCGAGTGATAGACAAAACGCAGCTGAGGATGAACGTACTGCAGTGCTGTACTGCTGCCGTATTCGCACGACAAGTAGGCCAAATCGTTACGTATACCTGGCTCTGTGTACAGGAACTTGCCGTAATAAAAGTGTAACCAAGCATGCATCGGCGGAGGTTCTGTGGATTGTTATGATTCTATAAGCCGCAGCAGGCCTGCCACCCTAGTGAGAAGCTGCCTTAGCGCGGGTCGGGTGGGCAGGCATGGATTACAAGGCTAAGAGTGTGCGACTTGCGACTCTTTGCTTCAACTAATGTACAACTCCATCCATTATGTACGTTTAATTTCGGTTTTCATAACGGCGTCCGAGATTAATTAATTCTCCCGCACGCCGTTTGTAAGAACCGCTGCCCTTGCCGTAAGGAACAACCAACTGCCCGCCATCGATGATCGAAAAGTCCAAGGTTTCTTAGGAATTCTAATTGGTTTGCTGTACAGCGTTAGCGCCTCGAGTAATATAATAAGGCCCCAACGTTTTAAGGTATAACTTACTGTTTTTGCACTGTCGGTAGCATCGACACCGCTCATGGTGTCCGTCTCATTGTCCATATAAAGATATTGCTTAAGCTTAAGTAATCTCTGTATAAATGATATCAGTTTATTGATGCATATCTTGTACAGAGAGTGTGGATATCGTTGCTAGCTAGGGTTGGCCAGGCCCTGCCTACTTCTGGACAGGGCGGGCTTTGTCTCGCAACGTCGTCATCACAACTTGCTTTGCTTTGGAGACGTTGTCTGGCTTTATTTTTTTAAAAATGAAGCGGCACGCTATGGCCAGAGCGCTTTTAGCTTTTGCCACTGCCTTTGTGAATCTCCACTTGCTCGGTAAGAACTTTTAACTTCTCTATGCGGTCTCGTAAAACTCGACACAGCTACACTTAGTTAAATGTAATCGTTTTGGTAACTCTGTACGTGTGCTAAATGGCCTGGGTACCCAGCCAACTAAAAGTTTGAAACGCGAGAATCATATGGCACTCGGTCCGTCCTTTGCTCTTGCAGCGCTGGGCCAGAGTCTTCCTGCAGGGGACCCAGCGAAAGCCGTCGCGTTTCCCTATTGCCAGTGTGACTACTACGACTGCCGGTGTAGCCCTTTCAGCCTCACCTACTTGCCCTCTCGTAGCACAACGGTAAGCAACGAAGGCCGTTACTGAGATGCAGGCAGGAAGAGCCGCGCAAACCAAGTTGTTTGAATGGGAAATTCTTTCGTATCTTCTGATTATACTCTAACGCCATACTGTCCTGATCTTAATTAATAATTATTGCTATAAGGTAAAGCAAACGTTAAGAAAAATAAAAGTGTAATCCTATTGTGTTATAATGGTGTTCATCCCTAAAAATGTCTATTACCTTAATATCCGATTTGCTATAACTTGGCCTGGTCGTTCATCTCGTACCCACAGATTAACAAGACTGTCGATGTGGTTCGAAACTGCTTCCGGGTGGACTATAGCGGCTGCGACGCATCGCTACCCTGCTGTGCCGGTATGATGA